AAAACCATAGTAGGCTTGAAAATATTTGAGCTTTGGAGAAGGTCTATGATCTGGTGGGTTGCCATGGGAACAAAATCACCAAGGTATCGTACAAGCTATCGTATAAACAGTTTATCGCTCTGACGAAAGGCTAACGCTCGAAAATGCATCTTTGAAACTTTTTACGGTGGCCAATTTACTTTATCAACTCAGTTAATAAAACGAAATTACCCTGTTATACTCTCCTAAAGACGCAACACCACAGTTTCTTTAGAACCTTACCCCTTTAGTAATATGATCCAAAATGGTTTTATTAATAGCATTAAACATTAAGCATTAAAATAGCATAAAAACTTTAAATATCATTAGATAGGTAGTATTAGAAAGGCAGAAAAAAAGAAAAATAGAGAAACATAAATAAACTTCAACTAATAGCTTACAACGCTACATTGTATAAATAAATCCTTCAGAAATATTTTTGGTGCAATAAAGGGTTCGTTTGTTATATTTTCATTTGACGTTCAACTAATATAATTTTTAAACAAATGCTATAAAGTTTGGAAAAAATCAAACATTTCTAATACCAATTACTTACATGGCTAAGTCTGATGTAGTCCTTTTTCTAATCTGCATATTCTAGAAATCTGAACCTTTACAATTAAAAGAGATTGAAAAAGTACACAAGTGTTTTCTTGTAGTAAAGAATAGTTCTTAATAGGGACCTTAGGCAGTCAGGACAACAACGCCGAGGAACACGTCGATTAAAAAATGAATGTTTATTGTAAGTTAGAATTTTGCGAATGGCTTCATGTTTATACCGTCTCTTACTGCGCTTCAACTCTGCTTTAGCATAACTTAGGCCCACTTATATGGTCTAGGGTACCCGAGAAAACACTCTCTCCATGAGACAACTTTACAGAACGTTTACATGGAATTTGACATTTGATAAAGTGGCGGACGATAGGAAAAAATTGCTGTAAACATCCTGGTAATGGCGTGCGCACGCATTTTCTATTCCAGTTGCCTCGTCTCGGGTCGGCCAGACAAGATGTTTACATGAGGAGAAGTTGCCCCACCTGTCCGGGCTACCCTACCTGCCGAGATGAGACAACTCGCCCCCTCAAGTTGTCTCGCCCACCAGAGACGAGTTTACAACCTCCTGCAAACGGTCGGCTGAATTTTGTAAAGAAATGAGTGAAAAGGTGGCTCGTCCAGGGTAACTCGGGGGAAAGGTTGTCTCAGGTACCCAAGGCTATGTAAATGGAGCATTATTTCTAGGCGGCATCGAGTTTAAAACCTAAATCATTTGAATTTGGGTTTTTTTGTCAGAACGCACCAAGTCTAAACAAAGGTTTAACGTATGCGCTGACTATTATTATTACTATTATGATGGTAATAATAACATTAAGTTCTATTATTCTGTCAACGATATCCTTTATTTTGACTTCCTCGTTGCCATTACCTTCTAGTTTTCTTCACGTCCCAATCGTTTAAAAACAGCACAAATTAGGCCGGTGCAGACTTCACCTCTGTAGAATTCATACCACGCGCATAAATCACTGAGTAAGATATGAGAAAACTGGATTCAGAAATATTTTGGCTACTTCAGAGAGCAAGCGGAATAATTTTTGAATTACAGCATTTTCAAATCATGGTTCACAAAGTATACACCAAAACAATGAAAGGAACATAATACAGAGTCAACAGCACTATAGATGCAAAGCAAATTATTGCACTTGATGTCTGGTCGCGAGGGAAACAGTTTACGATGATGTTTTACCAGCGGATTCTATGCAAATTCTAGCATGGCCACTTGATCACTAATCAGCCAATCACAAACCCAGTAAAAGTAGGGAATATGGAAGATTCGACTCTTCTGGGTGAATTTTACATTGAACTGATCAGAACACGCGGAAATCACTATTTACTTAATTATGTGTTGTTACTTATCTTACGGAAAGTTCTAAGAGAGTCCAGTGGTCGAATTTTCATATCAGTTTTGGAAGCGCTACCTCTGGCACTGATAAGAACTAATTCTCCCCTGTGAATATCGGTCCAGGTTTCATTTCCACAACGTGTGAAAATACTGTTGAGATTTGAAAACGCGAGTAATAGCAGAATACCAAATATTGCGGTTCATTATAATCTTCTTCATCCCATACCAGCCTCGTTACATATCTGTTTCAAATGAACCATTTTTTTTTTTTAATTTTCATTTTGACAAACTATGAAATGATTTTATGGTTTCGCTCAAGTCCAAGTAAATTTTCACTACTAAGGAAAACAACTTCGTAGCTTTGAGTAAGAAATTTATGACTTTTTCATCGTTCGTTTTGTTCAATCAGCAGCTTCCTAAATTCTAGGAACAATGTGCAGAAAATTAGTAGTAATATTGATAATAATAGTGACAATAAGACAGTTATAAAAGGGTTGCGCTGACTAGGGTAAACTGAGTACGCAAATTCTCTTTATTCTTTTTTTGTTTCTGTTTTTGTTTTTTTTTTTTTTGTTTTTTTTTTTTTTTTAATCTTAAAATTATGAAGAGATTTATGATAACTTTCCCGTTTCCGAATATCTATCTTAGTTTTGGATATATTTGTTATTGTTTCTTTTTTCTCTTTTTCGATAAAAAAAGAAATAAACAACTAGTGATGCCGTTCACTTGATCCAGTTTTACATTAAAAGAATTTAAAAGGAGCTATATCGGTCAAGATGCTGCAACGAACAATGAAACAATTAAAAATCCCCGAGTAAAATATTGAAAAAAAAATGTACTAAAATATATCTTGGTTTAATTATGAATGGAAGCGAACTAAATTTTGGAGTATAGGCGAGGGGTTGTGGGAGGCCAGCAGCACATACCCAGCAAAAATTGGCCCATGTACTAACCCCTCCCCCACGGATCACGCAAATACTGTACTTCATTTCTTGTTGTGAGGGAAAAACTGTATGATGGCATTTCCCGGGTGGAATACATTCAAACACGCGATCTCTAATCAGCCAATCACAATCATAATAAGATAAAGGGATAATTTGGGTGTAAGACAAAATTCAATCACTGTGGCTGATTGGTTTACGTATCATTTTATGGTGTAAAAGTATCATCTGCTGGAGTCCCTAATTACTCGATCAAACCCAGCCTTCTCCATTGGCTTTTCTTTCGGTTGGACCTTTGATTTTGGGGAGGTATTTTGAAGGGGCTTAGGGCTTGCTTTATGCTTAAGAGCCATTCAGTTTACCCCCTTTGAAATTTGTGTCCAAAATTACCTGAGAGAAGAGAACTATGGCCAGTTGGAACTTAAAAAGGTTGATATGCTAGAAAATGAATTTGCTTGGATCTTCTGGAAAAAGTTTTTCCCACACTCATGTTTTTTAATTCCCTAAAAAGTGCATCATTCTTTGATGAAGTGTTAATTCTAGAGAAGCCTAACAATATCACTGCTCTCAAGACCCCGACTCAACGAGTGTAACGTCTGAATGAGTATTTACTTTCGTCTATAGGTAAGGGTAAGAAAACTCGTCATGCACACAAGCGTTTAGATGTTTGGTTTTTTAATGTTTTTGATGTCTATTTTCTATACAAATCCGCTCGAAAGTGGCGATAAAAGCGATCTTGTTCTTCAGAAACCTCCGTCTATTGTCGTCCCAAAAAACAGAACCTTTTCCTTAGGCTCCACCTTTGAACCAAAATCTCCATTTCTATCAGCAGTTTTGGTTGTTTTAGCGTTAAAAATAGGTGGACGTGTCCCAAAAGGTGTGTGTTTTCAAATAGAAAATCATAGGTGTGGCCTTGACCTAAGGCCTGGCACCTTTAGGGAGGAGATTGGACAGCGCTTGCCCTAGTAAATACGGCAATGTATGACACTTGTAAGAGAACCTTGTGTTGAAGTCAAAGCATCAATAGTTAGGGATTAGTGGTGGATGTGCAATTACACATTCACCACTTTCATCAACACTGAGGTAAATATTTTTTCTACTTTATACCAGTATGGACATTTTCCATTACTCAACCTTGTGGTGTGTGTACTTTCTTAAGTTAACATGAAAAAACTAATCACAAGCATTGTATTGAAAACATTCTTTCTTTATTAATGGATGAAGAATAGTTGAGTTAGACCAATGAAAGGTATCTTTTGACCTATGAATGGTCTACAATATCATTCAGAAACGAAAGAGAGACAAGGGTTTTCAGTCAATATACCGTGAAAAAGAAGAATAGAAGTCGACTGATCTTATTTTCATTTCTGCTGATTTGGGAAAGCTTTCCTCTGGTGCGGCACCCAAATTAGCCCAGAAGATTGCGCACGAAGTTTTATTATCAAAGTAATTCCCGTTGAGATTTGACAAAATAGCACTATCACTATCTCTATACCACCAGCCTCCGCCTCTCTTTTTATCACAATCATGAGGATATCTATCCCAGGTACCAAAAGCAGAATTCCTGTAAAGACCTAAGGAATCATGGGTCACAGTCTCATCTGTTTCAAAACAAAAAAAAGGAGAAAAGAATCAGCATTGGGATCATGCTGACGCCTTCGAAGCGTCAAGCTTGATGTTTGTGACAAACAAACAAACGAACAAACAGACAAAGCAAAACAAACAAAAAAAAAACAACAGCAACAACAAAACAAACAAAAAACCCAGCAGAACAAGACTCAATTTATGCAGCAGCTACATGCTGCTTCGGTGAAATGGATATCTCTTAGCATATAAGTCATGAACTTTCAACTGATTAACTATTATTCGATGAGGTGGGTAAATTAAAAATGAGTAAGTTGGATAGATAAACAAACTATGATATCTTTCTAGAGCTGACTTCAGTAACTGTTGATCATTGAACTGCAAATTCTAAAGAGAAGCTTGGACCCAACCTCGCGTGAGCGGAATAGTCAGACGGTTAGAGGAACAAACAATTATTGTTATGTTCCATGTGGAAGGGAAGGGAGGGAGGGAGAGGGGGTTCTTAACAGATGAGGAAAATTAAAGATAAATCCAAACAATGAAAATTAAAGAATGGTTTACTAACCAGTCTTATCGCCAAGGTACAGCCGGTACTTAGCCATTTCGTTTCCAATCCCAAACCAGCCATACTCAGCGTGAGCAATTGTGCCAGTTTTTACTCCCAGATCTATTCGAAGCTTGTTGTTTGTCTTGTTTCGGGTCAGGCGGTTTATTTTGTCCAGTCCGAGCCAAAATTCACCGATAAAGTAACCGAAGCCATATTTGTAGTCATCCCAGGTGCGGTTAAAATCAACAGAGCCATCCATTCTCTTCTGGATCACTGTCCATCCCCCACCAGCTGTCATATGGTCACAATATACATTGAAGGCACCTGAACCATCTGGGTCGATTGTGTAAACACCACTGATCCTTTCACCGGATTTGTAAAGTTCAGCACAGTTTTTGGCTGGTAAGAATAATAACGATAATAATAGTAATAGTTATAATTATGATTATTATAATAATAATAAAGATAAATTAAAGTGAGCGAGAAGTATCAACACGCGTACGAGACTAGAGAATCATAATTACTTACGCGTCTCTGATGTCCTGTTATTTGTTACTTGCTTTGGTACTTCTACTTCCTTTACTCCTTTCAAGTGAACAGTAGTGTAGTTTTGGAAATTCACTGGGTCTGCACACGTTGATGATAGAAGTTCAAAAGTCACAGAAAGTGCCAGAAACAGCAGAGCTGAGCCTGAAGGAAAGAAGTCATTATGCGGTGTGAAGTCACTCAAGCTATGGTATGCTATAAGGCTTAGGTACAGACTTAAATAACCTAGTGATTGGGGGAAAAACTACAAACATGATACACTGAAAGAATAATGACAAAAAGTTCGCAGCAACTCAGGACTGGTGGCGAAGAAGGGGGGAGGGGGGGAGAGTCATAAAAATATTACAGAGCCTTGTTGGGGGATCAGGTAAGTGTTATCGAGACACAACTCCTTCGAACCATTTCCCTTCCCCCCCCCCCCTTTTCCATCCCGCCCAAACTAATGACCGACCAACCGATCAATAGGGGGAGTCTTAAGACTTAAGATCCGTTATGAAGGACTCCAAAACTGCCATCAACCAATCAGATTGATTTGTTGCCGGTCTTGCTAATATGTTCCCATTTTCGGAAAAGGAACTATACCGGGTGTTGTCGTGTGATCAGGCTAAAAAGGAATTTGTCATTGCTTTTCGAAATCATGACTGAAGACAACGCACACAAAAAAGTATAAAGGATCTATCTCTCAGCTCCTTGAATTCTGATTCTAGGCGTATTAATCGACTGAAACCTGCTCAAATCTATGTAGGTTGTGCTCATTTTCAGTAGCGTAAAAAGTTAATGAAAATACATTATCCTATTCCATTTTATTTTTGCTATTTTGTGTGATACGATTTGTTTGATTTCATAGGTTAAGCCTGAGGATGATTCTATTTCCGTAGATGTTGATTTCCACGAAAATGAATTGATTTTTAGACAAGTAACGAATTAATTTCGACACTAAGGGCAATAAACCAGCCAAAAACTCTGCATGAACTGATCTTTCAAGAGGCCATTTTTTTGAAAAAAGCTAAATATAGCCGTCGATCATGCCATTGACCAGACTCTGACTTCCAATTCCTAGGGCAGAAGCGAACCTTAAACTGAATTTACTCGTAACAAGGAAATCTTTTTCAATGGAAAGATTTAACAAGCCAATCGAGTTTTGAAATTGAATTGTACAGACCTCAGAAAAAATAAACAAATAGTTTCATGTGCTACCATAAGCATTAAAGTTGAACTGACTGTACTTTTTACTGCATGAACCAGACGGTAAAACATTTTGAGACGTTTTGAGATTTATTCTTTGCCGTCGATTTTTTGAGAGTTCATTCTGGTTACTAAATTAAGAGCCGCATTTAAGCCCCGCGTACAGTCCTTAATTTAAGAAAGCAAGCATTAGATCTTAGCACGTAAGTCTCTACACTGAGACCGACTACCAGATGTTACATACCTATTCCTTGTTGTATGCTCCTCATTTTAATTCTTCGGGTGTCGTTTGCAATGTTATTCACAAAGGCTGCAAAAAAAAAAAAAAAAAAAAAAAAATATAAAATGAAATAATAATAGTGATAATAATGATAACAATAATTTGACAACCTCAAAAAAAGGAAGAATCAAACTTTTTTCATAAAAAGTATGATGGCAAAGACTAATAGGACTTAACTTACCACTAAGTTCACCTAGTCCACTTATTTACTTTCTCTTACCGCACGCTTTCTTGGCGCTCCGTTCAATAACTGACAAAGTGCTTGCGAATTTTAATTTATGACATACGCAAAGGAAACAAAAGGGAGATGTCCCTCTTTTGTTTCAATTCATGAAAGCTTAGAACTTCCTTTACCTCTTAGTTGAAATTAGCTTATATTTCTAATTTCATTGTGAATTTCCGACACATGGTCTTAACAAGACACACCTTTGTTTTTATAGTTCGTCTCTAGCCAGTCATGTAAGGAGTTCACAAGAACTTGTACGTTTATTATATTACTGGAATTTAACACAGGGTCGGTCTGCCTATTGTTAGGAAATCAGCTAGTCTAACACAATTATCTTAATTTCACCTTGCTTCGGAATTTCCTTTTCAACAGGAAATATCTAACAACCGTTGATATCTTTATCTGATAAATGTGAAATATGTGCTGACATGCAGATGAAATACAAGTAAAAAGATTATTCTCACAGGTGAGCGGCACTTAAAGCAATAGCACAAAAGAAGTTCCACTCGAAGTGGTGCCTTCCAGATACTAGTTGGGTCCTTTTATCAGCTAAACGACGAATCGAGACGTCGGGAGCACTCCCAAAACCTGGCCTCAAGCAAAACTTGCAGAGCAGTCATTATATTAGTGCTTAGGGACCCAAAAGGGATGAATATTATTATTTCAGTTACACCAATAATTCTCAGTATCGCACAGCAGAAATATATCTCCTGATACAGTACTTTACTGAGATAGACAGGAGAAATCGAACCGTTTCATTAATCAAAGTTGACACCCACAAATCTTTTTTGTTCTTATGCAGTTATGGAATACAAACTCTTAAATGTGGATGACAAGCAGTCGCTTTGTCTTCACAAGCATTTCTTCGAAAGGCTTAGCGAATGGCTAACGTTGGATCGGAAATTTTGTGAAACCAATTGCTTTTCTAACTCGCGTAAGCTCAAAGAAGCTAAGTGACGTTGTGAGTTTGCGCGCTGAGTTCGTCCAATTTGATACTTGTGGGTGTAAAATCTCTCTTGTTCCCTATCAGAAAATAAAATTTTGGCTATTATTCAAAGGCAAGTTGTGATGAAATCCGGGTTTGTTTATCTTGATGTCACAAATTACAAGATAGTTCTATTAAATAGAAATTCCCGGAAATTCCACTGAAATATCGAATAGAACAGAAAGTTTCCGGAATCTTGTTTTAACACTTCTTCTCAGGCTCTCTTAAGGTCGTCTATTTTCGCGGAGATTTGAAAATTCCGACAATGAATTTAAACTAGTAATTTAATAAGTGTTATGGAAGACGTGATATAGTTGGCATTAATTCAACTTTCGCAAGTCAATTCTAACACAAGCGTCAAAAGTGTGAGGATATCTAATTTCTCCTATCACAGAAAGTGCATGCAACATAATCACAGCTTAAGTGGAGATGAAACGAGATGTTTTCGGCCTGCTTCAAAATCCTGTTCCAGTAGACATGTATTTTAGATAACTGATTGGCAAGGACCTGAGTGTGATGGTGTGTTTCATGATGCTAGAGATTATCTCCCTGAGTAGGGGACATCTTGGACCATAGTTTTACTTACTGTTGTCGTTTTTACTCGTAGCTTCATATTGAATAAATTATAGGTAAAACTAAGCTACACTGCTAATAGATGTCTTTGAATTATGGTATTTGGACCAGCATTCCCCACGGTGCTGTCTTAGGACCTCAACACCTACCATTCAAGGCACTCGAGTCCCCTTTTTCCATGAAATGGTGGAAGATAATCACCAAATCTAACTGCGCAAAGAGAACATTACACTTTGCCATTACAAAACGACGCAACAATTTCAGGGTAACAGAATGAATGGCTAATATTCGTTTGAGCAAAAACATGGAATGTAAAGGACATAAGCATTCGTTATAAATCCTAGACCAGACAAAATTCTGCGCGAAAGACGACGAATCAGCTAAATATTATAATGAAAATTTTTATTTAAGCTATTTTCATAAACTGAATGTAGTTGTTTATCTAGCTCTGCACTGACCCGACATTGACTTATCAGTCTTATCTTCTAAAACATAAGCAAATTTAAAAGCGAATTTAGTAGTTTACCTTAACAACAATATTTTCAATCAAACGATTGACTAAGCCGATCGAGTTTGGAAACCGAATAGTACAGAACACCGCGGAGAAAACAAAAGTTAGAGGCTACCACGAGCATAAAAGTTCGACTGCATCAGATAAACTGACTGGTTTTTGGTTCTAAAATACCATCAAAAAACATTCCGAAACGTTTAGAGATGGATTCCTGTTCCTTGGGAGTGGTGATATATGATGAGCTTTTCGAGAGTTCTTGCTGATTGCAATGTCACGTGCAAACCATATGGACTAACAGTTGGTGCAGCTCTAAGCCTCTAACAGTTTAATAGTTGTGGCATTAAATAAAATTAAGTAAAATATATGAATTAGATCGAATTACATAATTTTCTCATGATACACTACAAATTTCATACTATCCAGCACCACAGATGTTACGTACCTATTCCTTGTCGAGTGCCTCTCACTGAAATTCTGTCGATGTCATTCTTTGGAAGAACGCACCTTGGTGCTTAAAAATAGATTACGAGGACCTTAGCTAACGCTGAGAGCGTGCACATATGTTTTATGCACTTATGTAGTGATGGTCACGTACTTTCATTATCGTTACAAACAGCTCTAATGGTATTAATTTTTTCCAGAATTACCGTCACGAGGGTCCCGGTCAAAACTAGTTATTGTCGTAGCCATTCTTCGGTAAGTCTTCTCCAGAGTGGCCATAAACACGCTAAAATATATTTTATACTTTCCATTTTGAAACGTTAGTAAAGGAAAATGACATTCTGTTGATACCGACATTCAACTTCCGTAGCAGTCAAAGACGAAATTTTTAATTAGGTAACAACACTTTTTAAGGAAAGACGAAATTCCAAATTGGATAACAACAATTTTTTTGGTCCGACCTCTGTTTTAACACGTGCAAGGTCGTAACAACTGTGTATAGCATTGTGCATGTAGCACAGAAACAACAGAATTTGTGGTGGATTTCGTTACAAATCATAGGATTCGTTAACCTTTGTATACCGAAAATAGAAACTGTAAATAATGTAATAAGGCGTAGTTTCATGTTGCCTTAATAGCCACTATAGCAAGCC